CAAAATGTCATTGGTCCGACTTAAAGCTTGTTTTAAAACCTCGCGATCTTAAGTCCATTGAGTTTGTTTTTATCTGCATGATTTTTTTTTGCACGAATGTCTGATTATTCTAGCGTCTTTGCCAGTCCACATCATCTGTAAATTGAACAAGATACCCGTTCAGGTTATCGTAATCCAAAACCATGCCCTTTATCCAACCAAGATAATTAACAGTTCATCCAACATTCTCTTTGTACTCTACTTTAGTATTTCCCAGTTTTAGGTGGAAATATTCGGTCAGGTCACGCGTTTAGACCAATCGCGCGCGAGCGAAAATATTTGATGGATTATAAAATAAAAATATACTGATAAAGTGTTTTTGCGCAGTTTTACTAAATTTCTGTAGGTAAAAATAACTTAAATTCGTTCGTCGATGATGAAGTCTGGCTCTGGGAACAAGGTTTAATCTAGCCAGTGCTGAGCGCAGTGAAAAAAAAGAAACAGTTGTTTGCAGCCCATAGGTTAATTTTCCGCCATATTCTACCGACACTGCAGTCACCGAGGACAATGTCAAACAGAGACTGAATTCATATTCAAAACCAATGCGCTTGGAGAAAGTTCATATTGGAGGTAAATCAGAAATGAGTCAATCTTTCACTTTGCCGCAATTAACCGAACAAAAAACAGCTCTGTCGTTCGATTTTACGAACACAGATCGTTTCTTAGTAATATGTGATAAATTTCGCTGTAAAGAAAACCTATATCTGATATCTTAATGTTCATATAGCAGGAATCTCGCCGATGTATCAGTGAGCTAAAGAGCTTAACAAAGGTGAAAATTGAAATTTTATCACCTTCACACCTCTAAACAATGTCGAATTACATTAAATATTGTATTAGACAGCGATATAGAACATTTCAAAACATTTTATTGTCGACCACAGACAAACTCACCCACACTCCGATCCCAGTCCCATTGAAACCCCAATAACCTGTCTGAAAATATCCCACGACATGGTCTGCGATGCCAAAACAGAACAGATGAAACCCGACAATGATGTGCCCGATGGCAAGAATCCTCGCCATGTTGGCAGTAAAGATCTTTTAGTCGTCTAAGTTTTGTATTTTGCTTTAGACTGTGTCCCCTTTCTCCCAGGCTACATGGTTTGACACTTATACAGTTTTATTATTATTTATCTTCTGCTGAGGTATCCGCCATTCTTAATTAATCAACTTGGTCATCACCTATTTATAAAATTTGATTGACACAAGCAGCCAGAAATATGTCTGCGTTCACAAGCTTTACATTTTACCAAATACGTCCGTGCCGGCGTCCAGTGTCGAGCTCAGTGAAAAAGTAGTTGTTTGACAAGCGTATATACCGTAACGAAATTGAAAATTGGATAATTGTTTCAAGGCTGGTTGCATAAATTATAACTCCGTCAAATAAAAGCGAGGTCGCCTCTCTGCCCCCTTACACCATCCCGACCGGCCTGGGCCAGGTATATTATGGTTTGCCGGCTCCCACTACGGGAAATTTGTCCGCAAACCCCTACCTGGGTATTGGCTTGGTATCTGTTGGTAAAGTGCTGGCGAAACCATTTCGAAATATCCCTACTATTCCTATTACCAGCACTCCACCTT